AGTGAAGTGGTTGAGTGTGTCGACCACTTCACTTACCTAGGAAGTAGGAACATCCCTGATGGCTCAGTGGCTGGTGAGATCTCTGCACGGATACAAAAGGCTCGATTGGCTTTTGCCAATTTACGCCAACTGTGGCGCCCCGTGACATCCTTTTGTCTATTAGGGGCGCGTACACTACAAATGCACAGCAGTCCACTCTGTTCTACTCTATGACTGTGAAACATCACCATTGAAGGTGGAAGACATGAGAAGGTTTCAGGTGTTTGACCACAGTTGCCTTTGCAGTATAATCCATGTTTTGTGGTGTCACCATGTGAGTAACACAGAAGTCAGGAGTAGAGTTTTAGGGAGAAGAGGTAAGTCAGTTGACGAGGTTATGAACCTTCATTGACTGAGATGGCTGGTTAGGACATGTGTTACGTATGCCTAGTCGCCGATCACCTCGTCACACAATGTTGACCGAAATAGGTCCAGGCTGGAAAAACGCCCAACGTGGCCACACTAAAACATGGCACCAATGTATGAAGTCTCTCACTGTTGGTTTAAGCCATGTAGGACGATGCAGACTGGGTGGTTGGAGTCCACGGGACAAGAGGAACCAGTGGTTGGAGACTCTAGGTGATAAGGCTCAGAACCGATGTCAATGGCGCAGATGTATACACACATTATCCTCATCTTAACGACGCTATATTGAATCTCACCACTTTCTTATTCTTCCCTTCTCTCTTCTAATACTTTACATTTCTTTTGACTGAATTTTCTTATCTTCATCTTGCGCCTCACTGCCTTTTTACTTGATGTACTGATATCAGGTGTAGCAACTCGGATCGTTATGCAGTAATGCCTGGTCCTAGGTTGATCTGGATGGATGGATGGATTTCATAGTAGTATACAAAGAATAGATGCATAGAAAAAGACTGATATTACAATAGACAAAGGTGTATAAGAGAAGAAATTTGAAAAATCAAAATTATTATTATTATTATTATTATTATTATTATTATTATTATTATATTCAAGCTTTAGAAGATGTCGAAGAGTAAATACATTTCCATCATTGTCACCGATTTTTTAGCCGTCACTAAGAGTTGTCAACCACTGATTTTTATCATCTCAATGAAATCCTTGACAGAAACAATAAGCAATGCTTAGTCTATTACCAACATACGATGAGGTTCCTTCTCTAATGTTTACAACTTTTAATCTTATTATTACATGTAAAATATTGATTGAGACAATGAGTGTGTTTTTTCACTGTAGGTAATAGTTTATAATTCCTTCAGATTGAAACGTCTTATTGAAACTGTTATTCAAATTCTATTTCACTTAACACCTGATTTTCGAATTTCAACAATCCATCCTGCAAGCCAACATAAAGAACAACATCGGGATTTTCAACACCAATTCAGTCAAGTTAGTGCTACTATGTGATGGTTCAAAAACTTGGCGCGTCACAAAAAGCACTTCAAACAAACTATAGACATTAATCAACAGCTGCCGCCTACACTCGCTCGATAGTGAAGACCAGATGGATGGCCAGAAAGAATAAGTAACAAGGAACTCACTCTGACCTGACAACGAACCAACCAACAACCTATCACCTAACAAATATGCAGAAGAAAGTGGAGATGGATTGGGCATACACTGAGAAGGTCGACTGAGGACATCACCAGCCAAGCCAGGCACTCGAGTGGAACCCGCATGGAAAACGACGAGTTGAACGTGGGAGAGTGACATGGAGATCATGCGAGGAACAAATGAAAGCTTGTGCGCAGTGGTGGAGCTAGGTTCAAAAGACTGAAGAGAATAGAATGCAATGGAGACGTACTGCTGAAGTCCTATGTTCCACTATGAACCCGATGGAAAAATAATAATAATAAATCCTACTAGCTAGCTTACATCTTACATACATGTGGCACGAGTTGGTATGAACTGTGTGGGAAGATATAGACTATCTGGTTCGGGTCCCCAAGACGATACGAATCAGTTGGTTGAGAACTATTGGTGATATGGCTGAAAATCAATCTCAGTGTGGCACAAATGTATTCACTCCTTCACATAGTTTATTCTCTCACACAATTTTTCTACTCTGTTATCAGTCTTTTCTATCCACCTGTTCTTTGTGTACTACTGTAAAAGTGTAGCAACTTAAGCCGACAGACTTGTATTCGAAGTTCTACGTTGATTCCGTCTTTCTGTCTGTCTGTCACATACACGTAATGGTAGTCTATTATACTGATATTAATTTTCAAAAAGTTCGATAGTTGGATGTGATCGACAAAACTTTCTGTACGCAGGTTTTGTGCTCCATGGTACTCGTCACAGCAACGCATATATCTACAACTTAAGTTCAGGATTTCTAGTCGACTGGTTCAAACTATATAACATCAATCAAAAAGTAACGTGTTGCTAAGTTTCCTAGCTTGGTGACCACATCATAAAATGATCGATAAAATTCAATCAGCACTCAATATGAAGTTGATTTCTCTTCAGCGACCAATCTAACAGAATGTCAATCGAAACCCAAATAGATCACTGGTGATGTCTATGACTAGTAACAAAGGATCAGACAGGTTCCAATCTATGAGGGGATATCAGTTCCCTTGAAATGAGAGACATATCTTGCTGATAAGTGCCAACAAGCACGAAACCCAGGTCAAGTATAGCTTCCTATCTATTGTCCCTGACCAGCAAACATCAACATAAAACGGGTTACTCTCCAACGAAGAATCACTGTGATTTTTGCAATGATATGGTGCGTATCAGATCACAGTTGAACAAGTCTATTCAAACCTCAAATCATTCGATAGCTGCAAGTTAAGCCTTTGGCTCAAATAAAAGATTTATGTAAAATTTATAAGGTCATACAAATCAATCAAACTGTTCACTCTGAAAATTACGTTCCCTAAGGCTTTCAAAAAACTTAACAAGTAAATACCATATCAGCATTTATGTACACCCTACAGGATAGGCAGTTACACTGGCTCTCAGCAATGCTTCAGTTGCCAAGAATCCAGCGACCCTTAAACTCAGTAACACATACATGTCACAGTCCTCCGTCAAAGTTAGGAAAGCTGTATCGAACCTGGAACGATGCAAAGCAGCAAGATATGACAGTTTTTCGTCTTTACTTTTCAAGGATGGAGGCAGGAAATTGCTAATGAAGATGAGGGAGGTACTAGATAGTGAGCTTATGGGAATCAGAAGGAGTGCCATCAGACTGTTGTATTTCACTGATCATGAGAAGGGAAAGAGGAGAATTAGTTTGACTAATATTGTGCAAGATCCTGGGATCCATAGTTATGCGACTCCTAAGTGTAGCTCGAGAACAACAAATTGGAGGGAACTAAGCAGGTTTCGGACATGGGGTGACAGTGCATCGATCATATGTTCAGGCTTTATGGCAGTGTCGAGAAAGTATATAATGCTAATGAGAGCTCTCTACTCAAACTCACCCAGCCTTGTCACGGCTAATAGAGAGTTGTCATGTGAACTGACGACAACTAGTGCTGCCCGCCAGAGATATCCATTGCCACCGTTCCTATTTAACTTCGTTATAAACGTACTAATAGACATAACCTTAGGTAGGCCTAACTTTATATGGATTAAGTCTACTTCCTAGACGGCATCTGGTTGACTTAAAGTATGCAGACGATATTGTCCTGATAGGTGAAAACGCTGATAAAATACACAGTCTTCTGAACGCGCTGAGTAGAAATCTAAGTATGTGTGACATGCGTCTCAATGGCACCTGTCAAAATTAAGATGCTTACGAGTGACCTGAAAATACTGGCACTTTAAAGATAGATAATGAAGTTACGGAATGTGTCGACCACTTCACTTATTTGGGGAGTTGCATCAAGTCGAACCGGATGGTTGCTGACTAAATCTTCCCTGGGATATACAAGGCTCCTTTGGCATTTGCCAGCTTGCGTCATCTATAGCGCCGACTGTCGAGATAACCAACTATTTATCAAGCGACGAGTATACTGCGCTACAGTCCATGAGACACGACCGTTGAAAGTACAAGACGTGAAGCGATTACATACTTCCGATCATAGCACTGCTCGTGTTTGGTGACATTGCTATATGAGCAATGTACAAGTGAAGGGTTCTAAGCAAGAAAGACAAGTCGGTCGACTAAGTTGTGAACCTTCAACGATTAATGTCGCTTGGACGTGCTACACATTCCGACCTACCACCTACCTTGACGTGCAATGTTACCAGATGGTGAATTAGGTTGAAAGAAGGCTGGTGGTGGCCAGACTAGGTAAGGAGGTGTAGACTGCCTGGTTGGCGTCCGCAAAACGATAGGAATCAGTGGTTGGAGACTCTTGGTGAAATGGTAAGAAATCGATCACAGTGGTGCAGATGTATTCACCACTTGATTTCTTGTAGAGATTGAATGTTTTGAATAACCTTAATCTTTAAATTTCTTCTCCTACCGTATACCTTTGTCTACTGTGATACCAATCTTTCCTATTCTTCTTGTTGTTTTTATGCTGCTGCGAAATGCGGTAACTCGAAGTGATGTAGTTGTGTGCAAGATTCTACGTTGGTGTTATCTGTCCGTCTGTTATGCACGTCCTCATCATTCAAAAGATTATCTTTGTGTATTAAGCAGTCTTTTCTATATTGATAGGTATAGAGAAAAACCCTATGCCAAAAGCATAGAGTCTAAATATATTTTTTTTAGCGTATGTGTATAGTTAGACTTCCTTATAGCCAATCAAAATACACCAGTTAAAACAAAAGGCTAACTAGCCAATGAAAAAATAAGCCAGAGAGAGAGAGAGCAAATTTAGAATACTACTGCAGTTGACCGTCATAAATCCAGACAATTTAGTGACAGGTCAAGGTTATCGTTTCGTCTACTGCCACTATTAATACTACTGCTACTACTATGGTTGGAGTAAACTGATAAGAATTTACCATACCTGGTCTTTCATATCAGTGAGTTTCAACAACTCTCAATCAATTAGGAAACAAGGAAAGCTTACTTTGACAGCGACTTCTTGAATCATCCCACTATCCAAGTGCAGTCTACCTCGATAAACTTCGCCAAATTCTCCTTCACCTAGTCGATATAACAAAATGACTGCATCACTGGGAATAAGACGAAGTTCACCAGCTCCACTAGTCGATCCTAGACAAGAAGTCCCAGAAGCAGTCAATTGTAGACCAGCTGCAACTGGTAGTAGGCCGCCACCACCACCACCACTGGACATACCGGAGACGCCTGAACTCGAGGAACTATGATGTTTCCCCTGCAAATTAGCGCATTTAAAGAAAATATGAATTGAATTACTACTTTTAGAGATGTTTGTACAATAACTATAATAAAATATAAACTTCATATATAATACCTGATTTGATTTATTCTGTCCATGACGTGAATTCCCTTTTGCTATTGACATTGATAATGGTGCACCTAAACGACCACCATGTAAACTGGATGAAATTGTTCGTAAAGCCCAAGCATCACCACCTCCAGGACCAGATGACTCAATTTTGCGTAATTCACGACCATGATTATCTAGATTCTGTGGTATTATTTGTTCAATATTAGTAATTCTACCCGATGGAGATATAGCATAATGTAATCGTACAGGTATACCATCTGCAAAACGACTATAATGTTCTACTAAATGCTCCAATGATAAATGAAGTGGACCCTAGAAGAAAAGTAAACAAAAAAGTAGTGATGCGCATGCAACACAGTGTAAACAACTTCGTGTTTTTTTAATATACTAAATAAACGCACTTAGACACTTAGACATAATGTTGGCTATCACGAAGTCGACACTACTCCCCAAGACACTGGAGAGCAAGTAGATCATAGTAAATCAACTGAAACCAGTTTGACTACCGGTCTGATCTAGTTTACAGTCAATAGGGTACCCATATCAGACAGACAGACTGAATTAACGTAGAACTTCGAATACAAGTCTGACGGCTTAAGTTGCCACACTTTACAGTAGTACACAAAGAACAGGTGGATGGAAAAAGACTTGTATCGAGTTAGACAAAGTTGTGTGAGAGAATAAACTATGTGAAGATGAGGCTTAGTGGAAATATTCAAGCATAGGGAGATGTCAAGGAGTGAATACATTTGCGCTACACTGAGATCGATTTTCAACCATGTCACCAAGAGTCCTCAATCATTGATTCCTATCATCTTGCGGACCTCAACCACGCAGTTTACATCCCCCTACACAGTTCAGTCCAACAGTTAGAGACTTCATCGACTGGTATCACTTCTTCATCTGGAGGCTATAGACCCTCTTACAATCTAATCTAACTTCCCTTAGCATAGCACGTCAAGGTAGGCCGTGGATCGGCATGCGAAACACATGTCCCAACCATCTCATTTTTTTCTCCTGAAATATACTGAGGTAAATTAAAATTAAAAAGTTAGAACCTCGTAGCTTAATTGGTAAAGCATCGGGCCAGAAACCCGCTGGTCGCTGGTTCAAATCCGGCAGAGGTACAAATTTTCATTTCACATTCAATCATCAAGTAGTATAAGAAAATTAGTCTGCCAAACCGTGACTATCTCACTCAGATAGTCAAAAAGGAGAAGTTATGTGTTAAATGGTGCCCTTTCCATTGAAATGATATTAGAATACGTTAAGTGGAAACCTTAGTTCACTAAACATATCGAAGTCTCTTAAAAATGATAAACGATGCCAACCAATGAGATTGAAGTTGATAGACTGGCTGGAGAAGTTTATCCCTCCGAGAAGAATAGTTAATTAACTCAAAAACATATGATATGACATATCATCTTGTTCAGAAGTTGAAACATTAACAAGATAAAGGCAAGTATTGACCAATCATTAAATTACCTTGAAAATAGGGTGGGCAGCAGTGAGCTACTTGTCATAATGTTAAAAATGGCGCAAAAATGACAATTTAAAAAAGATATTCCGATTAATAAACAATGCTTTATACAAATCTTGGGACCTTCCAACACTACCAAAGGGTATCTACCTATTAAGCACACTGCTGTAATTACAGTATTTGGAACAGTAATCAATATAAAAACTGTATGAGTGAATAAAGAATATTCTTTTCGATAACTTCTTCCTCTTCAGGTTCTACAGTTCTATGTACATCTTCAAGAATTACATGTCAGTAGTATAGACATTCCGCTTATCAGTTTGTTGTTATTAATATTATACAGTTGAGTATATGGCTTATGTAAGATGATAGTTTAACAAAACAATAACAAGGTTTTTATGACAACTGGATAGAATAAACTAAGAAGGATGAAATATAAGAGTAAAACTTGTGCACTGTAGTAGAATGTAATTTCATTTATCCCACAGTGTGGAACAATATTCTTCACTGGATTACGACATTTCAGACACGATTTACTGTGGATAATCATATCAAGATAACTACACAACTTTGAGATATCCTTCATATGGTCCTAATTTCTTCGCCCCTTTTGTGATATGGGTAGTAAGATTTCCCATATACCTGGAACAGGTGCTGAATCATTCCTGTTCCCGCATGTATTAAGTGTTGGTTGATTCGATAAACAAAGATTCAGTTACCAATCCCTTCACCCTGCTATGTTCGTTTTAAGGATATTCGCGCTGTCCCATTCTGTTGTGTGTAATCGCATGCATAGCTATGGCTGAGCTTTTTTTTCTAGATTCCTTACCTTACTAAGATCTACTAATTTTGACCTAGCTAGGTTTTTATGTTCGTATAGCCTAACTAACCAACTCTGGTCGAATACTTTGACTTATGTACGTGACCTCACAATCGTTGCAAACGATTTGGTAAATTGAATCAATGTGCCTAAATGAATCGATAGGATCTTTAAACCTACTAAGCTTATTTCGAAGTGAGTTTGTAGGTTTCAATGCTACTCTAATCCCCGCCAGCACTACTGAGAATCCTACATAGTGTTTTTGAGGTGTCTTCTTTGCATGGTAACATCGCAGAGGATTTGAATTCTCTCTTCATAATATTGCCACCACTACTATTATTAACATTTTTATTATCACTATTATCACTATTATTATTACTACAACTCTTAATACCTGTGTTACTAATATTCTCCTCACGATTCCTAAGGAACTTATCAATTAATTTGGGAGGGTAATCACTGATGAGTAAGGTGTCTACAATGAATCTGGTTTCTTGTCTTAGATCTCATGTTTTACTAGTAAGATTTTTAGCCCTCCTCCTACTTAGACACTTCACTAAGCCAACGTTAACTGACTGACATACGGTGAAATGATCTGAAGTTTATGTAACCATTTGAATGTGAAGGTTTTCTGTAGACACTACTGTCTAAACCTCCATCTTGTTTCCGTTTGATTCTCCAATCAAACATCGTTAATTCCCCTTCACTATTGGATTGCTTTGACTACTGAATTTATACGTGTGAAGAAATTATGTATGTGCTGTGATTTCAGCAATGTAAACGTGTCGCCTTTATGTATATATACATAGAAACCATACTTTAGGAGAAGGACTAAGCTTGTTGATGGTTATTTGTGTCCAACTACCACGATAGAGGATATTAGTGATCCCATGATAACTCCTTCTGTTTCTTTGTATATTTTATTCTGAAACCTAAATACTGTAGAGGTAAGGCATAACTGTACTCTCAGCATGATATCATCTGTTGATATCTTAGTTCATAGTGTAAGCTTATGATCATTATTCAGCTCATATCTAACTGCTTCCAGAGTCATGCCATTCAGTATATTGGTATACTAACTGACTACACTAAAACTAACCATTTTTTCATAGTCATCTAAATGTATATCAACTAATCTGTGCTTCAAGTAGTCATAAGAGTTAGTAAGTCTTGAATTAAAACAGTTTCAATTTGAACCTAGTACCATCGTTGTATATTGCGATAAGTTATAAGTAGGAGTGTTTTAAAAGTCTACCATGGGTCTAATAGGATAGTCTGTCTTATGAATTTTAATGGTAGGATCAGTTTTCAACATTCAATTAAACTATTTCGATTAACCTAGAATAAGAAAGACAAAATAGGTAGAGATAATTTTTTTTTGAAAATTATTACAGATTATAGAGAAAAAAAGTGGTATCTACAGTATGAAATTAGATTTCCTGGGGTAAGATGCTACAAAACTTTTGCATCCTGTATCGGGTAATGCTAATTGTAGAAGTAACATATGATTCTTTAGAACGCACAATTCAGGTTGTCTGATCTACACTTTAAAATGTCAGGAGTTGAGTAGCTTTTGGTAAGTTGATGAGAACGCTATATATAGTGAATAAACGATTCATTCATACTCGCCGGAGCTGGAGGGCTTTTTGGATACAAAAAGGCTTAAGGTGTTTGACCACCGTTGCCTGCCTTCGTAGTATAGGACGTATTCCGTGGTGTCACCATGTGAGTAATGCAGAAGTTAGGTGTACAGTTTTGGGGAGAAGAGGTAAGTCAGTTGACGAGGTTGTGAACCTTCATCGACTGAGATAGCTGGTTGGGACACGTACTATGTATGCCTAGTCACCGATTGCCTCATCACACAATGTTGGCTCAGGTGGGTCCAGGCTGGAAAAACGACCAACGTGGCCACACTAAAACATGGCACCAATGTATGAAGTCTCTCACTGTTGGTTTAAGCCATGTAGGACGATGCAGACTGGGTGGTTGGAGTCCACGGGACAAGAGGAACCAGTGGTTGGAGACCCTAGGTGATAAGGCTCAGAACCGATGTCAATGGCGCAGATGTATACACACATTATCCTCATTTTAACAACGCTATACCGAATCTCACTATTTTGTCACTCCTCTTTCCTTTTTTCTCGTACTTTATATTTCTTTTGACTGCATTCACTTATCTTCATCCTTCACCTCACTACCTTTTTACTCGATGTGCTGATATGAGGTGTGGCAACCCGGACCGTTACGCAGTAATGCCTGGTCTTATGTTGATAATGATGATGATGACTCACTTTATGATTCGTTTCAATCAACTTTGCTAAACACGGAGCTGATAATGATCTTAACTAAGATGAATAAGGGTTTATGAGTCTAATAAATCAAATTTTTAAGAGTAGTGGACGATATATCAATATCAAAAACACTCTATTTACCTTATCAATGAAATACGCTTCTTTTGTATCCATATGAAATGAAAAATCGACTACTTCAATTTGATACTTTAATGTTTGATGCTGATAGTAAAGTACAAGTACAAATTTTCTTTCTGATTGAGATGATCGTCGAATAAGGAATGCACCATCTTTAGTTGCTGAACAATTTGAAAATATTTTGTCTGTTTCAGACTTGGATAAAGATGGATGATACCAATCACTCTGTTGAATAAAGAAAATAAATAATCAACATCAACATATGAAGGTTGGGTTCGAACACTTATTTCTTGGTTTAAAATTAAGTATCTCTAATCTAATGAGCTACCCTACACCAAAAGAAAGTGTCCAGCCTTGAGTGCTGATCGAGTTGTGAGGGCGATTGACACTTCCCAGGTGCCCACACCGTGGAAGGCTTTTTCTTCTTAAAGTACCTGAAAGAGATTTGTGTGACTGCAGAGCCCATCAGACATCTGCTTCAGGCCTGTCATACCCAGCCTTTTGAGTATGGTTATTTTGAACTTTTGTATTTTTGAGGCCGGATGGTAGAAACGAAACGACAAATGAACTAACACCACCGGCCTTGCAGACCGTGGGGCATGGTGGAGTGTGTTATTCTTGGGGCCGACCTTTTCTAACCACCCCCCCCCACCTTCCATTGAGAAAGCAGCATCAGCATGGCACTGCTGATCATCTAAAGGAAACATCTTACTGCTGTCACACCCCATCCAGCTAACAGCAGTACGACTCCACCCTCAGACCTCCATCATTGTGTAGTAATTTACACCACAACGGTAACTGTTTTTCGTCTAAACACTATCCAACAGACCTTTCTGGTATGGTAGGACCTCGAGGGAACAAGTGTTCCACCAGCACAGCTCGTCGGGTCATTGTGATATGCAAGCCCGACCACCAAGTCAAGGTAGCAGCTATCGGTCGGGAAAGGAAGTGTGCTTATGAGATACTGTTCACCCATGTACGACGTCAACTTTAGACCACTGAATCACGAGTGTCAGCCTCCTTGCTCCCACCTAGAGCAGTCACGTAGCACCATAAACCTACAATAGATGTGATACATTGCCAAGTGTAGAGACTTGGACGTGATTAGTTATAATAGCTATCATCAGTCTTCGCTGCTTAAGGCACCTTAATCATGAAGCCAATACTTCTGTTTACACAGTTGGACTAACTTGAAATTGCTTACAGTTTATTTCTACTCGAGTAGTAAGGCAGCTAGAGGCTAGAAAAATGTTATAAAATTTATCGGTATACAAAACAAAATCGAAATCCACTCAGTAACGTTGTGTATACTCATCCAGTAAGGCGGCAATGGGCCATACCTATTGTGTGAAGGTTATTGATACTAACTGACTGTCGAAACCGTAAGGCGGTGCTGGGTTCAAACCGATAATCCAACGGTTGGAAGTCAACTGTCTAGACCAATGAGCTAAACATCCACAATTTATCGGTACACTACAAGTTATTTCCGATTTATAGATTGTTTTGTAGTAGTAATAATAATAATTCACCTTATTCAAAACAGTTTGCGGTATAATTTGGAATTCTCACCATGATCTATTGCAACAACATATGTGCATATATATCCTCCTCCTTAACAACATTTTGAATAGTAATGATGCAAAGAGGCTAGCAGTACAATCCACTGTTCGCATTTCATCATGTTTGAGACTCTTCAGCTGGATGTACCTGCCTCACAGTGAGTGATGTTGCTCCCAACAGGATTCCTGGGAAGCCCAAGTTCGAATCCCGGTGGGAACAACATCACTCACTGAGAGGGAGGTACATTCGGCTGAAGAGTCCAAAATAGGACGAAATGCGCATACTGGATTCGACTGCTAGCCACTACCCATCATTACTGTAGTTAAAACACATGTAATATCGAGGCATCCACGCAGGACCCCATTGCCAACAGAGACTGGCCAATTTGGTCAAGTCAACGACGGTAAATCACAAGCAATAATACTATTTTGAATAGTGTTACTATGAAAATTTAAGTAGTGTACAGAATATTAATAATAAGGAAATGTTTACATTATTAGTAAAAAATCTCAGGAAGAGATTATTAACTGTTATAAAGTTGATATGTGAGTCACTTTCTAACACTTTTTAACCAAATAGTATGCATGCTGGGTAAAGTAGTCGAATTTGTGTACTTTGCTGTACGAATGTATGGTCTTATGTAGTTTCTCCTTGCCCTCCTTGACAGGAGATACAAGGAAAGAGGGAGCTATGAATCAAGTGGATACTCAGTGTCAGTTAAAATTACTGTAGCTAATTACTTGCTAGAATTTAAATGTCTGTCAACTAGTGTGTTAATCACCTGAACCACAGGCACACCACTCACCCTACACACTGACACCTATCAAAGCCCTATGCAATATAACATAGTCCTTTTTCAGTACACCAGGAAAATATCAATGGGGAACAATAGAGAAGAATAGGTAAAATGTAGGAATTAATAAACTGTAAAAAGTAGGAGTTGATTCATACCAGAAGGCCTCAGTTTCTTGATGTAATATGTTAAACGAAAGATTTTTTTACAAGTCAACAAGATATGAGACGACTAACAAAGGTGAAAAGTAAAACTCAATCCAAGACAGTTAACACTCGATTTACTCTCTGCAGAAGTACCATCAACTCTGTAACAGACGTCATCAGACTTAAGCATCTCACACACGTTTGCCTTGTTTACACCTGAGGCTAAAGTTAGCAGTCTAACATTTAGAAACCTTTAACTTGAGACCATTTGAGAGAGATTATTGGCCAACTACAGACAAGAGTCCATTTAATTTAGAGCAATCTAAATAAGAATTGACTGGAACAGACACCGTCACATCATCAGCACACTTAATAAAATCAGTTTCAACAGAATAAGGCAGATCATGCAAAAAGAATGAAAACAGAAAAGGAGAAAGTACCACACCTTGAGGCACACCATCTTCAGTAAGCAATAAAGTGGAGCACTTCCTTTTATAGACAGTATACTGTTTCCTTTCAGAAAAATAAGAATACAGCCACTTTGTAATCCATGGCTCAGTATGAGCTATAACAAGCTTATTTAACAAGAGTGGTCCAGGAACAGAGTCAAAAGCTGACAACTATTCCAAAAAGGCACAATGAACATACTTAACACTTTTGTCTTGACTAGAAACAATATTATGATGATTCAAGACAGTGATAGCATCTAAAGTACTTCTACTATGTTTGTAAGCAAACTGTTTTGGATATCTGAAAACTATCAAGCACAAGAAGAAGTAATTTCTCTGTTGTCTTCAGGAAAAGGGAAAGCTATAGCGATGGATCAAAACATAACATCTGATTCAGAAGATGACTTAGGCACAGGTACAATTTTTATTTGCTTCCAAGCAGCGGGGTATTGTGATTTTAGCCACCTATACAAAAAGTTCTGCTGATGGCATTAAGATAGGGTATGTTTGAAATAACTAGTCGCTTTTATGAATTTACATTGTGTAATTAGAAGACGAAGGTTATCTGAACAATGTGATGTATTTATACAATACATTTCGAATAATCTGATCGCATGTTTACTTGTTAAGTCATATATATATATACATATATATATATATATATATATATATATATATATATATATATATATATATATATATATATTAAACTGAGGACTGGAGGGGAAGAAGTGACATAGTTGATCCCAATCTTGGTAAGAAAACAAAGTTCACCAAGGTTGGTACTGAGTGTAAAAAGAAATGGATTTTATTCACACAAAGGTGGTTTCAATTTGTATACGATTATTACTTTCGCAAATCTCAGCAGGTGTCCCTGACTGTTTTTATATATTGAAACTATATAAGCTGTTTGAACATTAATTTTGCGATATGCTTCTTAGATATGTTTAGCTATCAATGAAGTTTCACACTCCATTTGATTTTGAAGCCATTTAGGTGCATGTTCTCTCACCCTCAACTGCATGGTTCGATTACTTCTCCCTATGTATGTGTAACCACACACATATGTAAATTCGTGTATGTATGTCTCGCATACATAGAGAGGAGTAATCGAACCATGCAGTTGAGCGTGAGAAAACATGTACCTAAATGGCTTCAAAAACAAAAGGAGTGTGAAACCGTGATAAACGCTGGTGGAACATGACCCTCTTCATTTATAGCTAAATATATTATGGAAACAGGTCACAAAACTAATATCCAAACAGCTTCCAAAGTTTAATATAGAAACAATCAGTCAGTGACGTATACTGAGATTTGTGGAAGCCATACCCATGCACAAACTGAAACCACCGTCATGTATACAAAAGCCATTTGTTCTAACACTACATCTACTCTGGTAAACTGCGCTTTTTTAACCAAAATTAGGATCAACTATGTTAATCTTCCTGCTTGTTCTCATCCTTCTTTATTTGAGTCGCCTAGTATCTTAACTTCAACAGCTACATGACGACGTTACATGCCAAGTGATTCACAATGGAAGCTCAGTGATGATAAATTTGAAGTGAAGATAGGAGTAAGACAAGGTTGCCGCCTACTATCACTGAAGATCTTCCTGATTGTGGTCGACTGGACTGAATAATGGAAGAAAATGTGAGGAGCAAGAAGATGGGCATACGCTGTGTTGACCGATGAAAAGACATCAGAAGACTTGGATTTCACCGAAGATGATTTATGTACAATGTCGAACAAATTCGAAGATCTAAAGGAGAAAACTAACAAGTTGGCAGAAGAGGCTAGGTGAGGCAGCGAAAACTAAACTTCCTTCAGGTGAAAGTAGAGAGAGAGAGATGAAGACACCCAACCAACAACATCAACAACAAGCACCAATTACCATAAACGCGAGAAACCTAAAGGAAGTTGTCTCTTTCACCTATCTAGGTAAGGCAACATCGTTTCAACTACAGGCGGCAGCGTCACAGATGAGGATGTCTAACTCACGATCCGAAAGATAGCAACACAGGTCTTCATTTATCTGAAATCAGTGTGAAGATCTACTCCACTCCACTCCACTCCACTCAGCATAAAGCGTGAACAACATCCGGATTCTCAACACTAATGTCAGTCAAGTAAGTCAGTGCTTCTATGTGATGATGGTTGAGAAACTTGACAGCGTGTTACGAAAAGCCTTTCCAATTAACTGTATACATACATCATCATCATCATCAACAGCTACCGTTTACGCTGACTCGCTCGATATGGGAGATCAGATCAGATCAG